TCATGTACTAAATATAATTGATTTATTTATTTTTTTTATTACCTTGCTACCAAATGTCACACACAAATTTACATACAGGTTATTTTTACAACAACAACAATTTTTAGGATTATTTTTTTGTAATTCATTTCCATAGATACCAAAGGTGTTGTTATAATTATAGCTTTAAGCTATTGTATCGGATCCACCCATTTCTTTGCATTAGCCGATAACTACTGTCAGCACACAATCAGCTGAGTGCAGGCATAGCGCTGTGACGTCTGTACATACGTACGTTACATATCGGCACGGATGTAAATAGCGTTGCACCACTCAATGAATGGTAAGTTTACAATAATATTCAATTAACAATTTGAATATAAATGTATAAGAGTTACGTGCTTTTTTTCCTACTACAACTACTTCTACTATGACTAGAATCACTTGGGGAGGTAGAAACGCATTTTTTTTGTTTAATGTGGGAAATAAAATGCAAAGTGGACTAAGTAATAAAAATGAAAATTAAAAAAGTCAGTCAAAAAAGAAATTAGGTTTTATACTAGGCCAGAAATCGATTGTTTGAATCTATATAATATCCACTACATATCTCATATATCTTTTCAGGAATGTATTTGGGAGTTATATGGTTCATCTCATACCAAAGAGTGTTGTGAAACCTTCTTCTAATGTCTTGTTTTACTACTAAGTCCCTAAGGATCAATCAATATGGACTGAATGGAAAATGGCTTAACTAATATAAAATCATGACATTAAGATGCAATAGTCAGCATGTTGTACATTGCAAAATAATATTTTATATGTAATAATATTTATATTTTCTGTTTTATTTTAAGGGCCTCTTTTATACACCCTTTCAAAATCAATTGAAATAAATTTAAATTTATTTTATTTAGTAAATTAAGTTATTTATCGTTTGATATCAAACTGCCAATCTAGCGGCACTTTTACAATAATAACTTGTGTGGTTAGTTCAGATAAGAAAAAATATGCCACCGAAATATTAGCTACATACATACTCTACTCTATATTAACAACAAGTGGTATTTTGGTTAAGTGAATTTTCCAAACGGGTGGGGGTTAACGGTCATTGGTACTACACAAAAAAAACATATATTTATACGTATGTATAAATATGTATTTTGACATTGCATGTCGTGTTAGCCAGTCAGCCACCATCATCATCATCCTCCACTGTTATCGGTTATTCCCTTTTTGGCATATGGATTTTTTTCTGATGTTTTTTTTTTTTGTATTTTTTGTTCAACGATAATATGCGAAACCTTTTGCTGTTATATTTTGGAATGAAAAAAAAAAAAAAAAAACACACACATGCTAAAGCTTAGCTCTTCAAACATGCAGGAAAACGGAAGTTAATTAGTTGTTGTCGGTCACCTAATAACAATGCTGTAACTCTATATCATTTTTTTTATAAAAAAAGAACAACAACAGATAAACAGTTATTATTATATCAGACAGGTAAAAATAATAATGATAAATATCATATCAAAATCGATTACAGTAGGTTTTTTATATAGCGGATCATAAGAGACTTTGAAGGCCATTTATTGTAATTGAAATGAAAAAAAGTTCTTCAGACTACATTTAAATATTGACTTAAAATTTTAAAAATTAGAAAAGGTGCAAAATATAGTAATCAAAGGATTACTATATTAGGATTTGACAAATAATTGTCAAAAAATCTGTAACACAGTTTTCCTACAAACATACTTTTAGGAAATCTTAAAAATTAAACCCGCCACCGTTCTCCTTTTTTATATAATCGAAATTGTCTTATTGAAACATGTTATCATGTTTAACGTAACAACGTAAAGCTACTGTATAATAGCAATAATGACAACAACAGCAACAACCAAAACAAAATCGTTGTAATAGTTTTGTTAACTTCGATTAACGTATATTAAATTGTCGTTTTTATACGTATGGCAAAGAGATATGGTCATACAGATTTGTTTTTGTGTGTGGCAATTAAAACTTAAGTTTATTATTTAAGCACCGAACCGAGTAGAGACCATAAAGTTCAGAACGACGATGATTCCTCTCTTGTAACACCAAAAGAAAAAAAACACCACTAAAACAGGCTAGTGGCTAGTATCTGGTCTGTCTGTTGGTTGGATTTAAACAGCCTTAACCCATTGACTTGGTTTAAAGTGTTTTGTTTTTATATGTTATTGACTATGTGTGGCCTGTAAAGATCAGGTGTCGATTTGTTGTTGCCTTTTGTATTTTAAAAATTGTTTAGGTAGAGGCTAAACTTTGATTACAAGAAGAGAGTTTTTGTTGTAGTTATGTGTGGTATTTTAACCTTTTCTTGAATATTAATTTTGGTGGATGGATCGTTATGTGGCCTATATTCGATATAGGCAACTCAATAATTACGAGACATTCCCACATAACTTTGTTGACATATGAAATAAAACCCTGCTCCTGGAGTAGGAACTTCAAAATACCATAAATACCCTATATACACTATATAAGGGACCAGTTTTAGTACCAAACCGAAAAAGGGGCTGGGCCTTTCTATGGCTGCTATGTCAAAACATGGACATTTATTGCAATTTTCAAATATTTTTTATACCTATTCTGAGTCACGAAAGGCACTCCTCTCTCTATCCTCACACATCTTTTATTTTTTTTTATAATGATTTTATTAATATTATTTTATTTCTAGGCTCCCCTTCCGCTCACGTATCATTTTCTTTCAATGCCGTGTGAACCCATCTATATAACATTCCTTGTACAGAACAAACTATTGTTATTAAATAAATTTTCCCCTTAGATTATAACAAATAAAAAAAAAACTGTTCGCATCATTTAGCATTAGCAACAATGTGTAAAATACTTAATTTGCTAACAACAAATTGTAAATACTCATACAGAACCGCAATTCACAATATAATTTATTCCAAACATTCATTCATTCACATATCAAAATGATTGATAACCTACGACGTTTAAAGGCAAACGGCGGGTTCTTTAAAAATAATATAGAAAAAAGTAAAATATTATGGACAAGGCATCATGATACAGATAGGCCGACAACAGGCATACAAACAAACACACGTTTGGGTATATTTTTCAAAAAGTAAATAAATCTGGCCACCTTAATTGTATTATCAGCTAAACGTATAAACACACTTTAAATCACTTTTTGTTTTACTAAATAATACGAAGAATAATCAGCTTCCATATTCTTGGCAAGTAAAATCCAAAAAAAAGAAAGAAAACCTGAAGAATATCAGCGAAAAATCGGCATAGTTCTAAAGCTCAAGTGTTAAGAAGGAAGCTAGTAGATACAAACAGCAACGGAATACAGAACAAAAATCAATCATTTCCACACTTATACGGTGAGGCTAAAGACCAGAAAAAAATCGAAGAAAAAAATCTGCAAAGTCCATGTGGTCATATGGCTGCCAGTACAAGTAGTAGCCGGCACCAAGATAATGCCAATAACAAGGCTTAAATAGTTGACTATGACTATGCTGCCTCCACCGTCGTTTAAGACCGTGTTAACAACAAGTTAATATTCTTGTTGTTGTTCTTGCTGTAATACATTAATAGCGTTAAGGCACAAGGAAAAAACATCTTCTGCCAGCTATAATTTTATGTTATGCTTAGTTTTAACTAAAGCGTAAGAGATTACCAAGCTCTTGAAGACATAATCGCTATGCTGTATTCTTTGTGTTTATTCGTATTGAAATGATCAGCTGCATAGTTTGGTTATAGTCTTAGCGAACTGTTAATTTTCCATGAAACCACCCAGGTTGTTATAAGCAAGAAATAGAATAAAAAAATGTATTTGTGGGATGTTTTTCAAAACTGCTGTTTATGGTTATGTTGTTAAAGAAATACCGTTTTTTATGCTGGTTACAGTGTTAAAAAATCGAAAATTAAATTCGCACATTTTGAATTAAAAACTTACACGATTTCTGTGAACTATTTTGTTTTAATTATTTTATTGGGAATTTTCATTATCGAATTGTGTTTCCAATATTTTCAGTATTTATACGCTAAACAACTACACAGGGTATTATAGTTCTGTGTGGCCCCAAGTGTTTTTAACACTGATTTTTTTTTTTTTGTGGTCGCTCTAGAGGCCATAATTATGACCCGAACACCACTAAATTTTACACAGAGAAAGTGGTCTGACCGTAGAATAATCGTGAATGTTTTGATGGACCCATTAAACTACTCCTGAATATATATATATATATATATATATATATAAAGGAGTTGTTGATCGGTTTAATGTGGGAGTTAATATTTAGGAGATGAAAAACAGGTGTCTACGTATTTTAAATTGGTTACTACTACCGTTACCTCACTAGAAGGCGTAAAAGGCGCGCCGATCGCTATGAAATTTTAAATATCATCCGATCATCACCAAAATTTGTAAGTGGAACACCACAAGTCATTTTACACGGGGAAAGGATCTGGCCAACTATTTATATAACGTCAAATGAAACAAGACATTTGGGTGTTAAATAATATAATTTGAGTCTTATGATTAGGAAAATATGTCAGGGTAAAAAGATGCCTCTAATCGATTAGGAGGGTGCAAATATCTCAAGGAATCGCCCAGGCTCGAAAAATAGATCTGGAGAAAATTAGAGTTCGGTGGTAGTTGTGTAGGGTATTAAATGATCGGCCTCTCTCGACTATACTGCTCCGCTCACTGGTTTAAATTGCAATGGATTCAAATGTGTTATCCGGTATTTTTTTCTTTTGGAGTGAAATATTTTTTCCTCTAAAATATCATGTTTTTCTTTGTAAAGATTTCATTATAAAAGTAGTATATGTTTTCATTTGTGCTCTGAATTAAATTCTATTTTTTAGTTTGTAATATTCCCTAATTTTTTTATTTGTTTTCATTTTTTCTTTCCAGAATGTCCTTACAAAGGATCAACTACTACTCAATGGGTTAGTTTTCTACGACTTAAACATAAAATTTTGAAACGAAAAAAATGTGGAAAATTTCTTACCCATGTCTGGTGATATGCCGCCGTATTGTGTTAGATCAGATCTTATCTTACCTAGAAAAGAGAAAAGAAACAAATTCAATTTTAATAAAGTAATTTATGAATTTCAAATTTAAAAAATATTTATTTTTATACAAATAATAAAGAATTAAATCATTAATTATAAAATAAATATATAATGTTATATAAAAATTATAATATTATATAGAAAATATAAATCGATCTTATTTTATTTTCCACCACTGTAAATGCCGCCAAACCGGGAGAGGTTCTGGTTTACTTTACTCTATATAATGAAATTTCCTTATATAAAAAGTGCATGGATCGTCGTAAAATTTGTTCTTTTTTAAATGGTTTCCAGTGAGCTGTTCTTAATTACCATTTTTAAATAATACTTCAAAGGAACCATTTTGGCTTGGGTTTTTCAAAATCTTCTGGAGGTCATTATAACCGATTTCAAATCATGGTTTCTAGAATTTTATAATTTTATAAGCATTTTTTAGAACATTCCAAAGAATAATATTCCAATTGTTTTTTTTTTGTCATAATCAAACAAATATTCATTCATTTTAAAAATCACAAATGCGATCGGATCAGAGCCAACTTCTTAAAAGAAGTTTAACAAATTCTGAATATAGGGCATTTTGGTAACATATCGAAACGTGTATTTCAGAAATATATGTATGAGAAACAAGGTCCCCTCTCTCTAATTTGGTGACGTTTTTTGTTTCTTATAATGAAACACAAAATATGCAACCACCTGTCTCCGCTATAACAATGTTTTGTTTTATGACCCTTTTATGTAAATTATAATTTTGGTTTTTATTATTTGTTGTTTTTGTTCAGTTCTTGTTGTTTTATCTTTTCTCCATTTATTATTTGTTTATTTTGATTTAATTTTCATTATGTTTTTCTTTGGTTTGTCTATGAGCTGTATTTGTTTTTCTTTTGGTTTTAAGTATGAGGTCTGCATCGACGTCTAAGTGGATTTTCTACACTTTTTATAATTTGTTTATTTAATTTCTTTTTTTCATATTTTTTCTGTTGTTGGATTTTGCTACCGCCAAAACGTTTTTACAATTTTCATCGCAGTGTGTTTATAAATAATAAAACAAATGAAGAAGAAGCGCACGAGAAAAAAAACCAAACAAAAAGGCAAAATCCGCAAAATGTAAACAATCAAAATAACAACACCGGTAACAAACGAGCAGCCACACAACAACAAACAAGCGTTGTTGCAGAAACTGCTGGCAAAACAAGCAAGAAAGAAAGAAGTTTTTTTTTCAGTGAAAAAAACATTGATGTTGCAAGGTGCGACTGTTTCGACATGAAAGTCTAGGCTCAGAATAACGGCAACAAGATATAACCGAACATCCAAGAATAAAAAATATGATTTAATGTCAGCGATAAACCACGTGTGTATTTAAAAATGCGCACAAGGCCCGGGTCTGGCGCCTGAGTAAACGTAATTTGTAGTGGCAAATATAAATACACACACACACACTGTGTTATGCAGTTACCTTTGTGTGAAGGTGTACTTTTTTGGGGGGTTTATTATTAAATATAATGTTTTATCAAGGAAAAACTAATAGAAAATATTAACAACAAATTTGATAGAATTTTTTTCTGTTACGAATGGAAAAAAAATCTGAACAGGAACTACTCCCTGAATTTATGGATTTTTAAATACCTTTTGCACGATGGCGGCAAATATTTTTTGTTTGCCATTCTATACTTCATATGCATAAAATACCCATTAAGTTTATAGTGTTTTTCGTTTTAATCTTGTTGTGGCTGTCTTAACATTTGATTTGTGTGAATCGCATCACCATCTTCCCAGATTCATACCAGCAAAAAAATCACCCCTCTCATCACGCCTTGCTTTCATTCTGTTCCTTGAGTACATAAGCTATCTATTTTCCTATTTTGTGTGCTCCAAACAATAATGATGAGATTTTAGAGTTTATAATCAAATATTATTTCCGGTATCTTTACAACCATAAAAATAACTATAAAAATGATTATTTGTTTGTTTTGGGTTGTTGTTGCTTTTCTTTTTTTCGCGTGGGTGCTATGAAAATAATCAGTGCTGTTTTTACCCATTAATGCCTTGTTAGACCACCGGTTTTGTTGGCTTTTGGATTGCCTGCTCGTCTGTTGATTGTCGCTTGGATATTGAAGCAAACTGCTGATACGTGTAAAAGCTAAGATAATGATCTAAATTGTTATCCCAAAACTAAATGCAAATCATGCTTTTGAGATATACATATTTTTTAATAATAATATATGCATAAAATTAAAATAATTAACATCTAAAAGGGGGAGTTGGGTTTGAAAAAAATTATTAGATACAAGTTTTTAGAACACGTCAGTGGATTAACAATGCCAGATGAGTGATAAGCTGATGAGGGTAAATTAGATTCTGTAAAAATAATCTTCTAATCGCAACATGAACATTTAAAAAAAAAATAAAAACTTATTGAGGACGAAAAGTAAAGGTGGAAGACGGGGTTAAGGTAGACATATATTTCTATGCAATGTTTCACTGACCATCAACATGCAATCCCAACTTGTCGGGGTTTTTAAAAAATATTTTTAACCATCAAGTCAATAATACAAGATTTTTAAGAACATTTTTTCAACGAACAGTAGGACAAAAAATATTTTTTTTAAACCTGAATTGATTTGTTAATAGATTATTAAACAATATTTTAAAAGTAATGAATTTTGAAGAGTATAATTTTTAAAAAATATTTTTTTAAACCGGAATTATGTCCGAAAACCTGAATGTTTGAAAAACTTTTTTAATAGTAATTCTATTTTTAGTAACAATTAAAAATTAAAACCAGTGAACGAAGCTTTATAGTCGGACAGTGCCGACCATTTGATACCCCACACAATTACCATTCTGAGCGGTTCTATATTCAGAGCCTGGCAATTTTTCGCAATATTTGCACCCACTTGACCGATTAAAGGTCAAAAGCTCCATCTTGGAACCCTGATATATTTTCCAAATCTTGTTTTCCGGTGGTGAATATTTACGCCATAAAATAAAAAATTTTCACTTTAATTTTTGAGTGATTTAACCTTCGGACCAATCATCAAAACAGCCGTTCTAAGTTGTCGGCATATAATAATGACCCCTACGACGACTAGAAAATGTAACAAAAATATAGTTTTCGGTTCATTGCACCTAAATATGATCTTAACATCACCAAAATGTACAGGTGTCGTCCTTGACCATAATTGGAACCTAATGTAAAATTTCGAAGCGATCAGCACAATATTTCCGTCCTCTAGTGGGATAATAGTAATACTAAACAATATCATAACACATCTTTAAAAATTTACCAATAACTCCCACAATTGGTAATTTAAAGATCAACCACTCCACTTGGAGAACTACTCGATTCTCTGTCCTTCAGGAATAAATATATTTGCCATTGAGATCGAGTCAGCTAGTCGAGATAAGACTATCGGTATATTCAAAGGACTAGGACCAATTTTTCGCGGTGTTACAAACTCTTGGGGCTGCACAAAGCTATAATACCCTGATAACATAGTTGTGAAGGGTATACAAGTTAAAATCAACATAGGTTACCAAGTTGCGTAGATTATTTTGAAATCCAACAGGACATCCCTTTAATTCTTGAAATGTCACTTGAAATTTATAATTAAAAATTTCATACACCAAGTGGCACGTGATTCGAACAGTTTGCATTTCATATCACTACGAGTAAAGTTGCAAATTTTGAGGAATTATTGATGTGCCGTCGTATACGGGCGAACCAACATAATTTGCTTTAAAAAGATGAGCAACAATTCCAATAATTATTTATAAATTTGCACATTCTTATTTTTATATTTGTACAATTTTTTTCTAAATTTCTTAAAAAAATAAATAAATACAAAACGTATGGTATCATCATCTGGACTCTATAAACTTAACGATTATCATCACAGTCTCTGTTCTTTAAAGACAAATTATAATTTATGGCTAGCATTTTAAAGATTTATTTCTGCTAATACCTAAACAAACGTGTTGAATTGGCAAACAATTTTTATTCCTGGCGCGGTTTTAGTGGTCAGGGGTAAAACATAGCCATGAAACAAGAAAAAATCAACTCGAAAGACAAAAACAGGCAGCAGCAGCAACCGCCAAAACCAAACAAAAAAAGAAGAACATCCAAAAAAACTTGGTCATAGTAATCAACAATATGTTGTTGATGTTGTTATTGTTTATTATAAAACAACAAATCATTATTGCCACTTGTGAACAAACGAGCTTCTTAACACTGAAACAACAACAGCAATAATAACAAAATATCAATATATAATATGTATATTTTTTGTTGATAATTTACTAGAATTTATGATTTTCGATTGTCGATCGAAGAGTGGCGATGTGGAGTGGGGGACACCGTGAAATGAAAAGTAAAATATGCATAATTTTGCTTTTCTGTTGTTCATAACGATTTATGTATTATTAATAATTCATTATATTCCCGCCAAAGTGGGGAAAAGCCGCCATTAGCCATGTGACGCCACGCCACTGAGGTTACCCCTCACTCAGAGTAATCAATGTTTAGGAATATATAAATAAAACATTTTTTGTTTCAATGATGAATGAATGCATTTTGTTGGTGTGATTAAAAGTATAATTTTCCGTTGTTGGAGAAATTGGGTTAAAATTCCGCAAATGATTTTTGGTAGAAAATAGAACATAATAAATATTAAATAAAAGAAATAAAGTCATAATGCACTAGTTGGAATAATAATTTGTGAAGTATAGTTGTCATAAGCCTTGTTTTTATCATTACTAATGAAAATGTTTAAAAGTACAGATTGTCAATCTTTAACAAACGTAAACATTTGATTTATTACCTAAATTATAATTATGGTTAGTGAACTTAACAAGAAAAAGAAGTGTTGTTTTTCACAAATATTATTGTTGTTTAAAAAGCAATCTAGTTAATTAACTACAAAAACGTATAACTATCTACTCCCCCATGTAAATACAAACATTCAGAAGATACACTTCAGTCACCGTGGTT